GTTGTATGTAAATTAGGCGATCTTGTCTGTTGGTAGTTACTCTCGGCCTACCGCCTGTCATCAGTTTGGTTTGCCAGATTGAATCTGTTCAGCAGACGGTAGATAATGCTAAAATGGACGTTAAAGTTTTTAGCATTGAATCAAAATTACACACGTACCTTTAGATATAAAACATGTGCGTTTCTTTTGTCGTTCGACATACTTTAAGCTTAACGACTGTCGTGTGTAAAAGGGTTGTTGTATACTTAAAGGAGCTAAATCTCTAACTCATTATTTTCCATAACATTCGAAATTAAAAACACGAATTAGAATTCAATATTGGTCCATTTCAATCAATACTGATGTTGTCATCTGTTGTAGTAAGGTAGGTTGAATTTTTGCTCTTTAAATTAATAACAGCATTATATTGTATCTTTAATAGTAAGTGCAGGAGGACCACACTACACGTAAAACAAAAATCTACAAGATAAACCTGCGGACAAGACAGAAAATAGACATTGCACCAAATAAACAAATATCAAATCAAGTGAATGGATCCGGGATAGAAGTCATGTCTCATGCACTTAAATCAAAATGAGTGAATGGTTAACGTACAAAAAAGATTTATAAAACCTAAACAGATTATCATGATTAACACGGGATTGGAAATTTACTAATTGCATCATACACCGTAACCATCCAATCATATTCATTATTTGCAGAATTTTAAGTCATGGCGTAAGCAAATCTTATAAAAAGGCTAAATCAGCTATTTAAGATTAGATATCATTGAGTTCCGCAGAGATTACATCTGAGTTTCTAGACCATATGATGTAGCGGTTTCCTGAGTCTAGCCATGATGTTTAGACTTTTACAGGAGTTGGTGTTGAGAGAAAGATGTTTATATTAAGTATGCTAATGTAATCTATTATGTATTGTAACCATATTTAAGCAGCTTGACATAAAAATGTAGAACTGAACTGTTGCATTGTTATTCCGAATCCCTGGTAAGACAAACGTCTTAACTACTGAGATTGTAGTAAAAAGAAAATACACAACGTGAAAAGGACTCCAAAGTAGACAATAATAGACTATTATAAGGCTAATAAAATATGTAGCATAGAATAGAGTCTACGTACTGTGAAAATAGGATCCTAATATCCAATATCTTAGATACAATGAATATTTATTCACATGACAAGCCCATAACCAACACTCTGGAACATCGGAAGGCTCATATATTAAGTGAATTAGATAATATCTGCAATATCTGAGTTAAACGTTAAAATACAAAAACGCGACTTCGTTTGCTATGTAATAATGATACTTGCCATTCGAGACTATTTACCTTATTCCTTATCAAACCTTTAAAACTTTAAGAATAATTTGACTGAAATTTTCAATATATTCATTTTCTATTATTATCTATTTTAAAACTAACATATCAAGAACGACAGCTCTTAATCTAAATCTTACATAATACATCTTTTAGAAAACTCAACCAAATGAAATAATATGTAAAGTACTATCAGATCATATAGAAAAAGTCGTATTTCCCTATTCTGCAAAGTGGGTTTTAATTTTGAATTCAATTTACCTGAGACTTCATAGTTTCAGTTACATGTACATATAAGATCAACCGTCTTGTTTGTTTATATTGCATGTAAACAAGTAATAAAAACACTGATCAGCCATTTGAAGCAATCTGATTCAGACTATAATGACCTTCAGAATCAAATGTCACAGAGAACCCACGTGACTCAAACGACCCTCATACATGCTTAAAAGTACTTATACAGTCTGCGTGCAAATTTATGCTAATTTGAAAATCCCCAATTTCATTTACTATCACGACTTTTATTTCGTCTTCTTTTTTTAGCGTCGATTTGAAAACAGACTTTGTCAAATTAGATTTGTATAAACTTAGTGAAAGAAATGTTTGTCGCTAACATCACATACCCCACTAGCAGTCCAGTTGTTAGAGAACCGCCAAGGGTAGTCCAATGATAACAAATTTAGTGATCATTTCGAACGTCTGAATATTTTGATATGAAACTTTTAAATAAGGAAAAAAAAAATTCTATTCACTCACATAAACCCATGTTTGTTAACGATTGTGAAACTGTCCCTTTACGGAGTCAAGTTATGAAATCCATATTGTCAAGATGGATTCATTGAAAACCATCGTTCATTACAAACAGGAACGATTCGATAAGTTAAATTATGGTTATTAACAAAGTAGATTTTAAGAAAAATAACAAAGAAAGCGACACGCTTTGTATACCATCATACCACAATATATTCGATAAGTTTACTTAAGTTTATTTACAAAGCAGCTTTAAAAAAAAAATAACAAAGAAAGCGACACGCTTTGTTTTCCTTTAAACCATTAGTTGTTGCTCTAACTAGACGGGTTTACCATTCATCATGATGTCAATATAATGAAAAGTATTGATTCGAATAAGGCGTGTTCATAAAATACAAATTCATTAGTAGTATATAAGTCGATTAATGCGCTTTTATGCTTTTTTTCTAATATGGAATGTCGATATGTATAACTTTGAAAAATTAATAATAATAATAACAAAAAATAATCTTTGAAATAATATTCAATTAGCTGCGAAATTATGGAAATCTTAAGAAAAAGAACCGATAAGTAGATTCGGAGAACAAGTTTATTATATAAAAATACTTTTCGAAGTCATATTTAATTAGAAGCCAAATACCTATAGATAAAATACCTATAGATAAAATACCTATAGATAAAATATGGAAATCATAAAGAGCGAGAGAGAGAGAGAGAGAGAGAGAAATGGGGTTTAACGTCCACTCGAACCAGACTAGGTCATTTCGGGACTAACATAATGGTTTAATTTTATTTCAATAATTCGCTTGCGCGTAGGGGTCTTTAGCAATGGGAGGAAACTGGAGGACCCGGAGAAAACCCACCAGATTGGACAGGCAACCCTACTCCTTGCCACGTACAACCGGGAATTCGAAACCACGCCAGTTGACAGGCCTTATGATACAGCGCGCACGTGATAACCATTCGGCCATCCAACCCCCAGGAAATCATACAGAAAACTGCTGATAAATTGATCCAGATAAAGTTTGTTTTAATTTTTTTTTTAATATGATATCTGATATTGCAAGGATATGAGAAATACAAGTGCTTTGAAACTCTGTAGAAACGTAGGACTCGTCCCAATCCTGAATCAATGATTAGATGTTCTAATAAATTGAAAAAAGATTATTGCTTCAGTTCGTTTTCTTTCATTTTATATTCCTCAATTGCAATTTACTGGAGTCAATCACCGTGATGTTTCATGTCTCGTGAACATAATATTTTGTCATTTTGAAACTAACATCTGGTTAATTTTTTTTTTGACCAGGAACTGGGTACCAACCGTTACCCATCTTGTTGTTCATGTACGATAGACAATAGACATGATATTTGTTCCTTGGACTCTTGCACTTAGATTGACTTCGTCACAATTACAAGATGACTGTGATGACGCCATACTCAGTTCCTGTTTCGTATCACGCTGGTACTTAATTCTATGATCACATTGAATTCCGGATATGCGGTTCCAATACAGTCGCATTGACTGAAATGAACTATACAATTCCGAAAACCTTTTGTCAAATCAACAATCTTTGGGGATGTTAGTTATATAAAACATTACTGAATGGCATATTGCTATTAAAGATACATTAGATAAGATTTAATAAAGAGTTGACCATTCTTGATATAACAGTTAAAAAATAGATGATAAAAAAAGAAAATATTGAAAATGTCAGTCAAATTACTTTAATCTGAACGAAGTTATCACTTTTGTTAGTTTGGACCTGAAATAGGCATCAACTGTCTCCGCACTGTCTCCGAGAATTGCCGATCGTTTGATTGACAGACGATAACAGTACCCTCGATTTTCAGTCCTTTTTATAGGCAGTCTCCGGGAGTGAAGTCAGTGATAACGGTAAATGTTAGCTTGGTCCGACATTTAATGATTTAATTATTATATGGACGACTGTTTAAATCCAAGAGTTGATTTTGGGCTTGTTATGTAAATAAAGGTCTAATTAATAATTTCTATAACATTTGAGGCCTATAGAAAAACTAGCAATAGGCATATTTAGCTCTTAACTAATGTATCGTTAACTTTAACTGGAATGTCGCTGGAACAATACTCTTTCGGTATTAAGGCCTACAATTCATCGCGGTATCTGAGCAGTTTAGTTATTTGATTGTAAGGTTAGAATTTCTATTGATTTAGCTATACTGTTTTCTATTGATGACACATACCCATGACATCAGTTTAACGACAGTACACGGTGACATGTCATTACTGCCATATTATACAATCAACCTAGATTACAACAAGTGGGACAAAAGGGGTACAACTTCGTCTCGACACGAACTAGGTCATTTCGGGACTAACATATAGTGCAAATTTATTCCAGTAATTCGCTTGGGCGTAAGGGTTTTTAGCAGTAGAAGGAAACCCGAGGTTTAGGAGAAAATCCACGAGGTAGGGCAAGCGATTTCAAATTACATTATCCGTAGCATATTATACACCACTAGAACAAGGGTTGGGATTAATGTCACATTTTGAGAAAATTTGGCTGTCCTGGTGTTATTCAATATCATTAACTTAGGATTTTGTCAAATGTCATGAGGAGTCATGAGGAGCCACAGGGTGTCATTGAGTAAGACGATGGCTCGCTAACCAGGGGGTTAGAAGGAACTGGACAGGAACAGTGTCTAGTCGTTCGAGTGGGAACACGAACCGAGGTCTCGTGTACACATTGGCGAGCAGGTAAAAGAGCCTTGGACAATTGGAATTTGAAAAACGAGTCGGTCGTCGTGCCGCTGTTCGGGCAAAATTACCTCATAGCACACTGTATGGCGTATGCCTATCTTCATTAGCCCAATCGGTGCAGAAAAATAGGAATTTAAACCCCATTTCATTTCAATTGTTCAGTTATATTTGGGGAAATAAGCAAAATTTTGCATTTACCTGATTAGAAGTCACTTCATCTGTCTGGCTAGGTCGCGGGACCTTTTTATCAGCCATTTCCAAAACCTCCTTTGTTAGCGCCATTTTTAGTATCCCAGAAACAAATAAAATATAGTTCCTCGGAGAAGAGGCCCTTTTTTATTCTCGCAACAAATACAAGATTGATGACTCAACCTCACTGCAGAAGCACTTGAAATGTCAGTTTCATTATATAACGTCTCCAAAGTGAAATAATTCAACCAATCTTAAGATCGAATTCACCGCAGATCGCGATACAATCTTTTAGACTTATTGTTTCGTTTGTTCTTCTCCATGCCTTTTACATCTTCCTCGTTCAAATTAATCCACTGCATTAGTCACAATCCTATTCATTTATATTAGCAGACGTACTAAAGGGAGATAAACAGGTAAATCATGAGCTCAAAGCATTATCGATGCAGACGATAAGTAAGACAATTTCTAGCCAGATGGTATTGTGTTTTGAGGAGAGGTCTTCATAATGCATAACATCGTTGACTGCAGGATAAGATAAAACTGTAAGCTTGAATGTTTTCTCCCGATTTCTCGTTCCATAAAATCAATTCCACGGGTTTGCCACAGACAGCTTCCCGTCAATTATCGACAAAATCAGACATACTTACAATACACCTCTCTCGGGAGGACATTTCACTAATTGTATTTCAAATACCAGATTACGTGAATCCGGACGCCAGGCGAGTATCGAGCGGTCCTTCGTTAATCGCCATAGCTCAATAAAATTTTGACTTCGCGGATTGGTTATACAATGCAGGGTAGTATGGGGTGGATTATTCCCCCTTATCCTTATTACATAACACCAAGGTCCATACACCGTTTTCAATTACGAGAGAGGAAGAGAGAGAGAGCCCAGACATATTATTTCTTTTGTTCTTCGCCATGCCCTTTAATTACAAACTAGACTAACGTGCTCTTTTGCTTACTCAATTCATAGGATTGGGAGAGTTCTTTCCTGGAACGTTCAATCGAGTATTACTTACTGCTATCAGCATCAGCTCCTTCTGCTCGCCAATCTAGATCGGCCCGGTTGAAGATTATGATTTAAATATGAAATGATGCAGGCATATAGGGACGAGTGTGCTGGTGATTAATAGACGTACTGTTGTCAACAGGGAATACAGTTTTAAATATTTATTGTTCATGATATTATTATACAAGTAATAGTTGATGATATTGCGCAAGTGGTAGTATTAATAAAAGTGTTTATGATAAAATGAAATATATAACTTCCGTCGATGATATACGTATATCATTCTATTAATACACAATTTCTTGTTTCAATAAATCAGTATCCATTCCAGTGGTCTAAACGTTTCCAACTTCGATAATTCTCCCAAATAGATAAGTTGAATTCGATCAACTGAGCTCTTCCTTTACATTCAGTAATTGTTGATTGCTTGGTAGCATAGTTTGGCAGCCAACGAGAGAGTGCGATACAAATAACCATGATAAATTATGCGCATAAACAACATTGATTGCCACGTATTAAAGTATGTGTCATGATACGTGGGAAATGAAATGAGGTTTCTTCGAAATACGTGGGTTATGGTAGCAAATTAATTGGGTTAAAAACCGCGAACTATATTTAATTTATTTAACTTGTTTCAATGGCATTTAGTATTTGAACTGGAATATACAGGTCACAATTGTATGGAATACCATTACTGCTTATTACTAAGGGCCGTTTCGAATAGGCTTCTCTAGCCATTATTATAGAAAAGACTATTCGAAACGGCGCTTAGTAATAAGCAGTAATTGTATTCTATACAATTGTGACCTGTATAATTATATTTATTTAGATATATAATAAATAGAAATGATGACAAAAGCTCATACAGCGACAATAACCATTGTATTGAGAAGTTAAATTGTTTCCCATATCTAGATATGCTCTTCAAATTGTACTCTTTTAGGGGCTAAAATAGCATATTAATCAATGATAATTTCAAATCTTATTTCTAATTTTAATTTAATATTTATCAAACGGCCTTGATCTGTTAATATATAACCCAGTTACATATTTCATACATGCTGGATACCACAACAAAATATTCAGACTTGACTGCGATGTCACCGACTAGCCGGACGTAAATCGTCTGTTAGATCAGTAATCATAGTTTGCTTGTATAGTTCCCAATCCGTTTTAATCTGTAAATTTTCCTGAAATGTTTCTTCAGCCGGATAAGGTCGCACTTGTTGCCGGATTAACTTTTTCACCATTTCGTTTGCGTGTTTCGCATAAAATTCTTTTGATACCATGATACATTCTGCACCACGGCTAACCTATAAACAAACATAATGCGGTTTAAATAATGAAATGCATTTAGTTTTGAACCACGTAATAACTAGACAGGCTCAATTTGTGCCATGTTATGGGACAATTGGGTTCCTACATATTAATTATTAAACCAGCTACTAGACCTGATTGCTATATATTGTCAATTGCTTATAATGGATTTACATAAACCATTTTATAATTGCAGGTTTGCTGTGCAGTCAGTTTCTCGAATATAGAGATAACACCTCGAACGTGCAGTAGGCCTATGCATGTTACACCGGATCTTTATCCAGAGAGGTGAGAGCTAGTAATCTGGCACAATTCGTCAGATTGGGTCGAACGTGGAAAATTAGGGTTTTCATGCATAGGTCCCTCTAGGGAAAAATCATCGGCGATGCTCCCGATGTTTTTGCCCACAAAAACGGAATAGTCCATGTCACGTATTAGGCACAGGGGGTGGTTCGGTTAACGTTCATTGGCGCTTTGGCTATGGTCACAAAGCATTTCCTTGAATTATCGGTGATGGCCCCCAGTAATCGAGAAGGCTCCGATAATCAACATCATCGCGTATCGGCGGCACTTATGCCTTGGTCCAACTGGGCATTTTTTGCCTCGGCGATGTGCTACCGGTGGGGTCAGGAACAGGTTCTTCGGTGTCCCGGGAAAGCTTTGGGACATCGCGAGCCAGTGTGAAACCATCGGAAGGCCTCGGGAGACCTGCGAAAAACTTGTTCAGATTCGTTCCCGACGTTTTGTCCGATCCAGATCCACAGGGAAGCATCAGTGATATCTCGCCGAAGTATCAAGGGGCCTCCGAGGATATTTTAATCGGGGATGCCTCCGAGGAAAAGAATATTTCGAGGAAGCTTGAGGGAAGCATCCCCGGAGCTTCAGCGTGGATCTGGAATGCCTCCCTGCCTGTTTTCCCGACAAAACGTAGAAAACATATCGGGAAAAAATTTCAATGCTCGTTTCGCAGTTCTCCCGAGGCCTCCGGGTGGTTCCACATGGCTCGCGGCGCCCCTTAATCTTCCCTGGGACGCCTTTCGAGGCTCATCAATTTCCATCGGTAGTTCATCCCCGAGATTAAAAATGCCCAGTGAGTCCTAGGCATTACAGTGAATAAATGAATAGGTCAAGGATTGCTAATTGACGGATTAGTTACCAGTTCGAAAAATATTACACTGCAGTGATTACCAACTGGCCCTTTCGTGATCAATACTAAGGAACATTCACACTATTCGTTTACACCATAATTAATAATACAAAGCTTTTAATACGATGCGATACTAACCAAACTGACAGATGTTGTAGATTTGGCTATATCATCATCAAACTGTATGGATGGAAGACCCTAGCAAAATATACAAACGTTAAAACCTTCTTGAAAACATTGATGATAATAAAAATAACAAGGACATTTTAAAAGAAATACATACTGAGAGAAGATTTTCATAAACATAATTTTTTTTCAAAGACATTACTGAGAGAAAATATTTGTAAAACACAATTCTTTTTTAAAAAAATACACGAGATAAGATTTTCATAAAACACATTTTTTTTTATACAGAAATTATTAATACTGAAAGAGAAGATTTTCATTAAACACAAGGAATTTGTTTTTTTTTAAATAAATGAATAGAAAGAGAAGAAGACATTCCCTACTCCCATTCTCTTCATTCGTTAGTTTAGAAGATTTTAAAATAAACTTACGAATACATCACGAGGTTTCAGATGTTCAACTTGTACGAATACATTACTAGGTTTAGATGGTGGTGGATTAGGATTAGCTGATCTTCTTAATCTTGGTGATTTATATCTTGGTGATCTATTTTCCCGTTTCTGATTCCTTTCTTCTCTGGCTGACTTACACGCAAGCTATATAAAACAGGTTTATAAATTTTAAAAAAATGTTGGTGATTTGACTGTGTATTGTAGAAGAACATGTTATATTGTATTACTAGCAGGATACCCGGCTTCGCTCGGGGGTCATAACTCCGAAACCGGAAGTGGTAGACTAAAACCACCTGGCCTATGTTACTCCCCGGTCCGAGCTACCCCTATACCCGAAATTTCAGACTCGGGGCAGACCTAGTGTAGCCGCCAACCCCGAACAGACCGGCTTCGCTCGGGGGTCATAACTCCGAAACCGGAAGTGGTAGACTACTGCCACCTGGCCTATGTTACTCCCCAGTCCGAGCTACCCCTATACCCCAAATTTCAGACTCGGGGCAGACCTAGTGTAGCCGCCAACCCCGAACAGACCGGCTTCGCTCGGGGGTCATAACTCCGAAACCGGAAGTGGTAGACTAACGCCACCTGGCCTATGTTACTCCCCGGTCCGAGCTTCCCCTAAACCCCAAATTTCAGACTCGGGGCAGATGTAGCCGCCAACCCCGAACATACACACTTCGCTCGGGGGTCATAACTCCGAAACCGGAAGTGGTAGACTAACGCCACCTGGCCTATGTTACTCCCCGGTCCGAGCTACCCCTATAACCCAAATTTCAGACTCGGGACAGACCTAGTGTAGCCGCCAACCCCGAACAGACCGGCTTCGCTCGGGGGTCATAACTCCGAAACCGGAAGTGGTAGACTACTGCCACCTGGCCTATGTTACTCCCCAGTCCGAGCTACCCCTATACCCCAAATTTCAGACTCGGGGCAGACCTAGTGTAGCCGCCAACCCCAAACAGACAGACAGACAGACAGACAGACAAACGACAGTCACAAATATATATATAGATTGTGCGTAAAATGTGAGGTCACTTCATCCTGAATTCTTTATAATTTGCAGAGACATTTAAAGAAATATGTCCACGCATGTGCAAAATAAGTCAACGCATGTACAGCGAAGTTCATTTTATTTGAGTATAATTTGATATAAATTAAAAAAATTAAATAATGTATCTTTAAATTGTACAATATAATATTATTTTATTGTTTAAACGCTTTATGCATGCAGTGAAATATTAAATGAAATATTATGGATTAATAAAGAAAATCTCTGCACTAATGCTATAGTAGGAATTTAAAAAAAGAACCCAATACACGTGACTAATAATTCATGCTAAAATAGTGAGATAGTGAAGAAAAATAAATATAAAGACACATGATTTAACATGTTTTAGGGCTTTTTCTAAAAAGTACAACATATATATATATATATATAGTATGTAGAGTATACACAGTATTTACCGTAGACCCCCTGATAACTTTTAGTTTCATTGAAATAAAACATGATCAAAATATGAGAATGAGGTGCAAATTAAGAAAATGTTTTAATAACATAATACAACGGAACATCTAGGAAGGTGGTGGCGGGGGTAAATAATATATAGAAAAGGTATTTCAAGAAGAGTGACTAAAACTATAAAAAGTATCGTTATTTTTTTTTATAGAAGAGTGACTCTTAACTATACTCTAAAAAGTATCGTTATTTTTTTATAGAAGAGTGACTCTTAACTATACTATAAAAATACTATAGAAGAGTGACCAAAACTATAAGAACTGTCGTGGTTGTTTTAGAAGAGTGACTAAAGCTATAAGAACTGTCGTGGTTGTTTTAGAAGAGTGACTAGAACTATAAGAACTGTCGTGGTTGTTTTAGAAGAGTGACTAGAACTATAAGAAGTATAGTTATATTTTAGATGAGTGACTAAAACTATAAGAGGGAAAGTTGTTTTTCACACGAATGGCTAAAAGTAACGTTATTGTTTTTAAAAAAGCGGCTAAAACTATGCTATGCTATTTTGGATATTGTTGTCTACAGGGCCGACCCTTGGGATTCTGGCGTACTGGGCAAACTTAACATACAGTAGTAACACTGTGGACCGGCTAAACCAGTTTTATGCCTACTGATCTCACTAGAGAAATTGGAGATTTTCTTTGTCAACCGATCTTCACAGTTTTATCCCATTTTATTTATCATTTTAATATGTTCCCTTTGAATTTAGAAGATCCCAAATATCACACCAGATGGAAGCGTACTCTAAGCCCCACTAACAAACCAAGGAATGAAGCTATACTATTTTTGAGACGGGTAGATGAAGCAGATGTATCTAATTGATTTGCTAAATATGCTGAAACATAACGTTACTTCAGTAAATAGTCAAAAGTGCATTTACTACTACTACTACTACTACTACTTCTACTACTATGCTACTACTACTATTAAGAATATGAACTACTTTTTCTCGGATTTATACATACAAAATGTGGTTTGGCTACAGTGGGTTGTCTTTTGTAGGTCTCTAACGAGAAGTTGTCTTGGTTACTGGATTCCCGTGAAGTCATCGTCACTTCACCTAATATTTTGTCCCACTATATAGTACAACCATTGAAAATTAAATAAGGAAATATTTTTTGTGATTTTCCACAATTTTTAAAGTGATCTAACTTTAATGGCTTTGGTTTCTAATACATCTTGTCTAAATATCTGATAACAATTGTTTTTACTGATAGGTAGGGACATTTTAAAAACAGGTATGGGCATAGCTTTATTTACAAATGTACATCTAAGTTTTAATATTGAACTTGGAATAAAAGCTTACCCTTCGCCTTTGTTGTTCTTCTGATAATGGTGCCGATCTTCTTCTTCTAAGACCCGTATCAATTTTTGCTTCTGAAACACAAAGATGTTATTTTTGTAAACGGTAATAAACCATGGCCTACTCTTCGCATCAGATGGACAGAATTAGGTGACTGCCTTGATTCCAAATGGCGGATATTGTCAACAGCAGAATGTATTTCGTATTGGATCAGTGGAGGGCCTTTACGGTCGGAAGTGCGTCATTTCCAGCGACCTCGTGATATCTGGACATTGTATAAGATCAACTTTATGACAATTATGGCAAAAAACAATGACAAACAAGTACAACCGTACTATGACAGAGGAACTGAGTATGACTTCATCGCAGCCATCTTCGAATTTTGACGCCATATCAAACATCGATGTTCATCGGTCGATTTCGAATTGTAAAAGGAACACGCATATCAACAAGATGAGTATCGGTCGGGGACAAGTTCCTCGTCCAAAAATATAAGTTCATGTACTATCCTTAAGAATATTTCAATTGATACCTTGTTCAGCTGTAGGTAAATTAGGTAACTCCCACCTGTCATCCATTTTAACATCTTTCTTTCTTAAACTTAATCTACCAGTTACACCTTTTAATTGTTTCATCACCTGACACGATCCCTGAGTTAAACAATCATATATTATTAATAGATAGATGAGAAGTAACATTGATTAGATTATAGTTATAACACACTTGTGTTGGAAAATATGATAATTACTGTACAGTAGCTTAATTAATCTAACAATGTGGTAAAGTCCATTACAACCAGAGGGTTTAACGTCCACTAGACACAAACTATGTTATTTCTGGACTAACCTATGGCTCATTTTTATTTCAATTATTCGCTCCCCGTGGGGTGAAACCGAAGGACTCGAAGAAAACCCACGAGGTTGAACAGGCGATCCAACCCCTTGTTGCGTTCAAGCGGGAAATTGAAACCACACCTAATAATCTAACACACACACGTTAAACTATTCGCCCCCCCCCCCCCGCCCCCTATAGATGAAGGTGAGGTTGGGGTATTATATCAACTATAGTAAGCTAGTAATATACTTACTGATTTAACAACATACAACCAATCATTGACACTGCTATCTTTTACTATTACCACGTTTCTCCTACAAACAATCACAACATAATGTTGAAATATATACGTTCAATAAACATGTGGGCATTATTAAGCTAATTTCAAAAACCAGACATGACATTTCTTTCCTTATCTAAGCTTTTTATGGAAAATGTGAATAAGACGCCCCACCTAGTACATCAAGAAACAACCTGTCAAATATATTATAACTAGCTGTTCAGAGCCCTAAATCAGAAGTAATATAACTCCAAAACCGGAAGTGGTAGTGCCTCGAGTTTCCCAAACTTCCGGAACCGCCCTAGTGTAACCGTCAACACAGAAGAGACAAATTCGCAGAGCTTTCACTAATACGTGCTGCTCAATTGTGTTATTACATTTCTTAATGTTTTAAATATAAGAATACATCTTCTAAATGGTCTACGATGCTGCTATCGTAGGCTTTGTAGCAATGAACAATTGTGTGTTACCATCATAGAAATGTAAATACTGATACTTACTTAAAGAAATGAAGAAGACAAAATTCCGGATGTTCAACTAATCTATCTATCGGCCAATTTTTCATAAAATCTATCTGACTGAGAAATATAACAACTCCAAGTTAAATACATGTATAATTTTTGTTATCTTTACATACTTCATGGTTGGTCCCGAAATGACCCAGTTTCTGTCGAGTGGACGTTAAACCTCATTTTTTCCCTCTCCCATACTTCATGGAAAGGGGGTATGAGAGAGAGAGAGAGAGAGAGAGAGAGAGACTCCTCGTCACGGACAACCGGGGAATCGAAATCATGCCAGTTGACACAATGATAGACCTTATGATACAGCCCACACGTGCTAACCATTCGCCACACACCCCCCACACTATTATATAAAGAGTATACCTAAACTGTTTGAATTTCAGATCCATAAACCATCCAGTATATTTCAATAATTCTCAGAAGTCCCGCGAGGTTAGGCAGACGACCTTACCTACTCCTTGGGGTCGAACCCACGTCACTTGGGTCAATGAAAGACCTTGTGATCTGAAGCCATGCACTAGACCACTCGATCAACGGAGCATTATTTGACTTCAAGGAGAGGGGTGGGATGGGCAAAGTTACATGGTTAACGAGTTATTGTTTTCACATTTCAAAATATTATTTGTAAGTTTAAACGTTTTACCTGACAAACTTGATGTGATCAGGAATCTGGCCTGGAGCACTACCAGCCATAAAAATATCAAAGAAATCTTGACGACCTACAGTCAACAACTGAACAGTATCTTGACTTGATACTGTAGCGGTTCGACGTGAATGATGTAATAAGGCCAGTTCCTGAATAAAATAAAAGTAGGACGCAATGCTATTATTTATCTCAAAAGAATCTTATATTCTTATAATATATTTGGCAATCCATTAGAACGCATCTAAATTCTAACTAACAAAGCAAAGTTTTGTTGTACCTTTGTATTTAAACCACTACTGGGTTTGGTGAATCTTGTGATGGTCTTTGGTCCCAAGCTTAGCTTACGGCGCATGACCTTTGACTTCTGAAATCCAGGACCAAGTCACAAGTTAGCTATAAGTACGGGCTAGTAACACACACATGCCATTGAATGAGTACGCTTTCTAGATCATCTTTTGCAAAGAGGATGTCTTAATGGTCACTTTTATAAACAGGCCACTCCTTCATATCTTATTTGTCTCATTGATAGAAAAGTCCACATTTTAATAGGAAAGTCCACATTTTGGCTTAAGCTTGTTTAAACGTTAGATGTGACATCGGTAAGGGGGGGGGGGGGTATGCTTCGATCGGAATAATAATGAAAAATATCATTAACAACTATATAAACAACGTCCTATTCTATTTCCATAGTAAAATGAATAGTTTAATACAGCTTTAATATCTGGTTATCCGGAAAATACAGAATTCGGATTTACCAGCGATTTTTTGGTTGAAGTAATAAGGAAATAAACCGGGACATGAAAATCATACCGGATGTCACAGCAATCCGGAGTGATCAGAGATCGGATGTGACAGAGTCCACTGTATACCCTTTTAAAGTAAAAATAATGCACTTACCCCAAAACTCATGCCCTTTCTCATAATTGTAGCAACTCTGTTGACAGATTCTCCGGTTTTAGGATCTCGTACAAGTATAGTTACAACAGCTGAAAAATAACTAAATACTATTACTGACAATATCTAATTTTCACGATTTAACCAACACTAAAATGGATTTAAATTGATTCCAGATACAGTGGACTCTGTCACATCCGACATCGTACGGGATCGTTACAATAATTCGGATCACACAGTGTTTCGGAATACCGAGCTTTCTCCCAAACCGGAAATACTGTAACTTCGAAAACCGGAAGTATTTTTATATTGTAGCTTCGAATCACCAGAATGATATTCCCTTCATAAATGATAAACTTTTCTGTACTTTCAAAATTTTATTATATTAAATAATTAACAATAACAATGCATGCGTACAATATATTCATAAAATCGTTTACATGTAATATCAATGCATGCGTACAATATATTTATAAATATCAATGCATGTAATCGTTTAAAGTAGTTTGCTTAAGATTACCGGAAGCATATCGTAAGGCGGAGTCCTGGGCAACATCTTCTAACAAATGAATTGTTGCGATCATCTTTTCGTCCTTAATCTGTGCGAAGTGTTTAATGTCGTTGAGCATGCGTAGGAATTTTGAATAGGTCAAGTCTGTCGTTAATGTATATTCTTCATCGTCCCCGTCTTCAGCCAATCGGATGTGACAGAGTCCACTGTACACGTATTTGGATTCAATATGATTAGAAAGAGGCCAGTCAAAGGATTTTACGCGAACGTATAGGTGTCACTAGGTGTTATTAAGTTTCGTTGAAAATGTCAATACTGAACGAAACTGGGTTATTTTTGGACTGCTATTCCTCCAAGAGATCGATTTGTCCACAATATTGTAGTTTGCAAAGGATTCAAACTCCATGAACTGATGATCAGTGACTTTAAAAGGCTGTACGAGTCTGTGTTATTTCATTTTAGAAAACTATTCTCAATTTTTGGATGTAAATATTGTTTATTAGACAAGATATATATGCATATTTTAAAATTAAAGATGAACAGATCACTTACCTTGGCCAGATAAAATAAAGTAAAAGTTTTCAGCATGATGACCTTGTCTAATAAGAACACGTTTTGGTGGTACTCTATAATATCAATAATATAAAGTGTGAAGTCTTTATTATTCGTTTTGTAAACTGTGAAATATGTTTAAAACACAGATTATATTTCGTTTCGTTTGCGATTTGGTTCAAATTTCGTTTTATTAGTCTTCACGACAGTAGCATACGATTTTTAAATAAACTATGAGCTTAAGCCACCGAAAGTACAAAAAATGAAATGAAATTTAGATATGTATTTTAATCAGATTGCAAAATGTGTTTACCGATAAAAAGGAATACAAACGGAAGTAGAATCCGATTCCGGACATGGCACCACTAAAAATTAACCCACCATCAACCTAGATTATAATTTGTTGCAGATCGGGAAAATATTACAAGAGTTACAATCACGTGTATGTTTACTTTTCAGTGGAGTTCTTAAACGCACCCTATTCGATCTTTTTATTTTGAAGAGATTTAGGAAAAAATACCGAAATTTGATTAGAATTTAATGAAAGGGTGACACTAGAGAACCCATATAAGTAGCCTCGAATATGGTTCAAGCTTTTTGAGAATAAATAATATTTGACAAACTGAATAACATACTGTATTATTTATTAAAGAATATATTTGGTATTAGTCCTTTATTGTAAAACAAAACTCAATGAAAAGAAAAAGGTGTGGTCCCTTTTTATTACTTCAATACCTCAAAAAGTAAAAGTATACATACACTTCATACCAAGCGACTTTACATAATTTTTCTTGCATATGAAGTGGATATTCAGCAAATGATCTTAAACTTTGTAAACCAAACATAGCCTGCAATAATAATAAAAAAAAGATGTTTGTATAATGTTAACGTTTATCTTAAATCAACATCTTTAAATCAACATCTTACACAAGCTAATGCCATTAATGTACATAAACAAATTACATGTTATAATTTACGACCTTGTATCTATATTTGTCTATACTTACTGTTTGTATTTGTTCTGGTGATCTGTTTTCTTTTGGTAAACTCAAAATACCCTTGACTTCGCTGCTTATTGTAATCTATAAATATTACAATAAAACAACAATAAAATACAACGGTCAGTCGCATTAGAAGAATATTATAAAAACAGCGATAAATTACAACTGTCAGTCGTGTTTTATATTTATCGCATACCTTGATTTGTTGATTTGTTGATTTTTCATAAATAGGTACATAAGAAATGTTGGAGCTGTTTATAATCTCGCCAATTCAGCCACAACTTCTTTGTTCAAGAGATCCTTAATAAATAAACAGATTAACCCACCTCTTTTTTGGCTTTAAAATACGAGCGATCAAAAGATAATCCTTGGTTCCTGAGATTTTCTTCCAAGGTATCATCAACCACTGTTAAATCTGTTACAGTTCCAGAAGGTTTTTGGCTTGTATCTGATCTAAAATTAGTAAAAACAAAACCCCACAATAATATAGAACTATAGCACTAGAGTGACATTTAACAATTTATCTTTTTTATAATCGGGGGTCAGACAGGGCTCTGCTTTTAAATCTATTTTGTTTTTATGATTTGAAAATAAATTCTAAAATTCCACAATTTATTAGTATAAAATATTAATCGCTCACTAACTTTTTAGCTATAGATCTTGCAACCACCTTTAGAATCAACATCAATCGAATAGCCTTGTAAAATCGTTCCCGTGCCTGAAACAAAAAATTCCAAGAATAAAAGTTTACCTTTTTTGCAATCAAAATCAAGCCACAATGTAACGGTTGATTCAAAAAATCATGAATGTTTTTATTTCTTATACTGAAATACAAAACTAAATTATAGTGATTTTATAATAATGCAACATTCTACCTTTTGCGGATTAGGTACGAATTTTGGTTCAGATGCATACAAATGGGCAAACTTTTTATTCGATTGTACATGGAATAAACTTTGTGATCGAATCATCTTTTGTTTCTCCTTTAGTAAAGGCTTTTCGCCGGTTTTCTGATTGTTGTCAGAGATAATACCAAAGTCGATGGACCGTGAGTGCTTGAAATATCTCCCAGTGGTTCTGTTTTTATCGTTTGTCCCAGATACGACTAGGTCATTCTCTTCAATAGGAGGAAGAAAGGAAACTCCTTTTTTTGTTTGTTGCTCTGATTGACAATCATCGTATAAATTTTTTAGATTATCTAAATCACTTGGAGATAAACCGCTCGGGTATAATTCCGAGTCTGTGTTTTCTAAAACAACATCTTCCTGAGAATCTTCTTGGTCTGGTTCTTCACCCTTCTTTTTCTTCTGGCGAACCCCTTTATCAGCAACAAACAGCTCAGGCTCTATGATCATATAACTATCTATAGGAGGGAAATACACACTCATTTTGTCAGGTTTTATAAAACAAATATATGTATGACAATTTCAATAGATATCTCTTGAACGACAAACTGCACATAAAATCATGTTCATAAATATCTTATCCATTTTATTTTGTCTATAAAACTTTCACTTTATGGTTTCTTATAGCTGACAGCTCAAATGTCGTAATTCCTCTACGATATCCCCACATAATCCCCAGGATAAATATAACTATTGAATAATCCACTTGAAAAGGTGTAATATTGGATATTAGTTTCATCCAATAATACAACATAGGTCAATGATAAGTTGTATCCTCGTCTTATGACTTCATTCGGTTGGGATCAACAGTTGAAGTAAAAGCTTAAAAAAACATCTTGAAAAAACATTAAGAAATACTACTACTCGGCAGCGTTCGATATCGAAAAATAACAGAAGTAGTAGAATCCCGTTTTAATAAATGGTTTGTTTGATATTCCTAGACTAAACGTGACCAAGTGGCCTAATTACATTGTCTGGAGGTTTCATCCCAGTTCATAATATTTAGTCGTTTTGGAAACGGTTTATTGAAGTTGGATGACTCTTTCAGGGTGATCGCTTCAATTTGTCTATATTATGTGCATTTTGATGCCGTTTGTAAATTTTGCCAAGGGATAATTCAAATTGAAAGGAACAATAACCTGGAAAGCAAGAGAAAACGAATAAAATATCAGGTTTATCAATCCACACTAGTCTTAGTTTTAGACAGATTTATTCAGGCACAAGGTGATCGGTACTAAAGTAGCTTGTCCAAAACTACGCCTTCCATCTGGACGTTTTTTTCTCTCTCAAAACGTTCCACAGAGCTTCAGCTAGTTCCTCGGTTTTTTTTCACAGAAATATATCTGGCGTTGTGTCCTTTAACAGTCATTTCAAGCTGGTAATGTTGCCATGGTGATTATATGAATCATGTCTTTCAGAAACATTAGCATCAGGTTTTTGAAAAATCTAATCGAGCTTTGCTGATAAAGAGTTGGTGTCTTTTGCGCTGATATGTAGAATTCAAATTTCTTAGAGATACATGATAATTCAAACTAATTTGTTTCGCAGCTCCATAACATTGTAAAATAGTCCCATTATACCACATCACACAGCATTTTACATAGAGAGTATGGTCTCCAAACAATATTTTTAGGATTCTATAAATGAAACTAAAAGGTACTATAAATATTTCTTGAACCAACTAAATCACAATCATACGGAATTCTCTTGTAGACGGCACACATGACATTTTACACAATTCACAGCACAAATAAATAGATAACACAATGGTCACGCTATCAGCTTATTTACTTTTGCAATGATCAAACCCGACTGTAATCCAATATATCGCCATTTATATTTTTATATTAAAGATGGCGAAGATCTTGTTAGATTAACACCGATCATAATAGATAAACAACGCTAATCTTGATAAGGGTTGTCCTTAATCTTCTTAATGTCGGCCATCTTTTGACAGCGTCAAAGACATATCCTCCGTATATCATAATATATAAACTATCTATATACAATGTAAATATTATTCTATGTACGTAAGTACTAACATATAGATAGAGTAACTATAATAAAACTAGTATAATAAAAAACAACAAAACTCGAAAGTATCTCATATATAAACGGCTTACACATAATATTATATGGTATACAGTCTAAACTAACAATACAGTCTACAATTGATACAGTTCATTTCTAATGTTAAAGGGACATTGTTACCAAATAAAAACCAATTTTATTTTAAGCTGTTTTCTTTTTCGATCTAGCCCTAGACATGAGTCAAGTGTCCCGTATTATTTGATTGATATTTCATAGCATTTGTAAGTGGTGGCCAAACATTGACTGGATTAAATTCCCTGACCGTCGAGATATATATATCAATGATTTTAAAACAACCTACATGTAAATAAAAGGTTAAGTTCATAAGTAGTATGCTGTGGCTTTCATGGCTCTGTTTGTTTATTTCACTTTACACAAACATTTCAAAATGTCGTTTACTCAATATGATAACTGGGTTCCTTAAATGGCTAAATCGCTAATATTTGAGACCTAGAAATTGACACAAATTGACACATATGATAATATAATATGAATAAATATAAACTGATTTACGTTCCATCGTTTCCGTTTTTACTCTAATTTCAAATCATTTATGTTCGGCGAAATACGCCAGAAGTCTCAATCGAATGTCAATCTCTAGCGTCTGGTTATTCCAGTCTATATCCATAGTATTGATTGCGCCTGCTCTCCAGATAAGGATACGGCTTTACTGTTTGACATGACTTGTGGAATATGTCTAGTCTCGTTTTTCGAGTTCCTTGTTACAAATGGCGCTGAAACGCATTATGGTACACGATTCGTGTACCAATGCTAAAATGTTTATTTTGTATTAAATATTGGATATCAGAAGCCCATCTTTTCCCTGTAAGATCACACCATCAATGTTGATTTTTAATTGACAAATAATTCGTGTTTTCAATGTCGAAGACGTTGGATCATATTGTATTAGAGACTTAGCTACTAACTTAATGACATCATAACATTCAGCGTCCATTGTAAACAATAACATTTGAAAGGTGTGCGAGGAGGGGGTATTATGATGTCGAAAACTGTGTTTCTAACAATACATTTGCTTATTGTTTCATGTGCCAACAGTTAAGCAAAATATTTTTTTTTTTGTTAATTATATTGTACAGCACAAATCGAATTAATTTTTTTTTGGGTCTCACTGACTTACGAAATTAGAACTTAGCCAGTCCTCGATTTTCCATGACATATCCCTTTAAAACCTACAGGAGCATATTCTACTGAAATCATTAAATACCTATATATTACGCTCTATCGAATAAAATGTCCAACTTGTTTTTCTCTATTCCGTCTGTTTAAGTGTGTACGACTAAAATAAATGGAAGGTCGGGAGACTTATTGATTATAATTTGACTGATTATCGAATTAATAGTAATGATCATCAAAGAGCGACCTTTAATCGAACTGATATCGAGCATCTATAGTCTTAATGAATGAAGCCATAAACAGAAATAAATTGTTATTTGAATCTAGCACTAATTAATCCATTAAACTAATAAATATCTTAAGAAAAATACGGAAGCGTGTTAGGGACAAATAAATAAAATCAAATTTTCATTTAGTCCTAATTAGGGTATTTTAAGTCTTAATTAGGAGATACTAAGTCCTAATTAGGAGACTCATGAGGAGATAATTAACCTTAATTAGGAGATACTATCTCCTAATTAGGGGATACTAACTCCTAATTAGGAGATACTAACTCCTAATTAGGACATACTAACTCCTAATTAAGATATACTACTTGTACTTAGTATCTCCTAATTTGATCCCGTTTCTTCTAATTAGCGCTATTTATTTAATGTTTAAATCTATCTATTTGACCCTAACACGCTTCCATCAGAATGTAAAAAATAACTGGCAATCTAAAAAAATGGGGTATATATTAAAGCCATAGACCGCATGTAATTAAAGAATGAGGAGATACTATGTATAAAAAAACCAGTTCCATGGTGTAACACTTATATTAAAATAGAAAGTAGTCACGCAATTATATTGATACTCCATTGAAAGAAATCAGACAGTTTCTATTGACAACCAGTTACACGCCGACATTGTGGAATTGCATTCCATTCATAAGATAAATTAAACTTTCATAAAATGAAGAGGAAAAAGAACCCAAACAGGCGAAAATGAAATAAATGGGCGTTAAGGAATCTTGGTCCTACTGATATTTGGATTTATTTTTGTACCATAATAATCGATCATATTACAGAGGCCAACTTTGCAAGAAATATATCGATACCAAATTATCTAAAGATTATTTTTTTTTTAAATAATATTTTCTTTCAGAAACAGAGCCCTGAGCTTGGATGGAGGAAAATGTTTCGCCTATGGAATTGGCTAGTAGACTACAGGTGTACTAGCTAAGTACAACACGTATGCATTAAAGTGACATTAGGTAAGATTAGATAAAGAGCTGACAGTTGTCGCTATAACAGTTACACAATAGATAATGAGTACAGAATATGCTGAAATTTTCAGTTAAATTGCTTCACTCTGAACTGAGATATTAGCGATTCCATTTTCTGCTAGCCTCGAACGTCCTTACTAACATTGGTGCGATGAAAAACCATGTCACGATTATCCATTTTTAAGTTATATTATCCACCACAAATTAATGCATTCACATCCACTAATATCGCAGGCTAACGATGGCATCGAGGGTTGATTATGGTCTGGATAAGTAAATGAATGTCTAATTAATAACATTTCAGGCCTAAAGAAAGATCTGCAATAGACAGATTTAAAGGAGCTAAATCGGTGATATTTTGGAGCTAGAAATTGGCACAAATGGGTCGCAACGCATATATAATATAATAGGGATTTATATAAACTGTTTTACATTCAATCGTTTCCGTTTTACTGTGAATTGTCATCAGTTATGTTCGGCGATATACGACAGAAGTCTCAACCGAAAGTCAGTTTCTAGCGTCTGGTTATTCCAGTCAACATCGATAGTATTTATTGTGCATGCTCTAAAAATAAGAATATGGCATTACCGTATGATATGACATGTGGAATGTATGTCTAGCCTCATTCTTTGAGCAACTTGTTACAAATTGCACTGAAACGCATTATGGTACACGATTCGTGTTCCAATGGTAAAATGTTAATTTTGTCTGAAATATTGGATATCAGAAGCCCATCTTTTCCAGATAAGATCACCACACCAATGCTGATTTAAATTGCAAAAAAATTCGTGTTTTCAATGTCGAAGATTTTGGATGATATTGGGTTACGGACTTAGCTACTTTAACTCTTGCATATGCATGGTTAATTTAAGAGTCTAGGTAAAACTAGAATATTTCAATTTCTTTCTTTATACACAATACAGACGTCAGTAAGTCTATAAAATTCTGAATAAAGAAATTATCAATGTATTATATTAGTTTTCCTTTCTATTGAATTGTTATAGTTTTATTAACTCCTAGCAATGTTTAATGTAGCAGAATATTATGTCAGGACAGAATAGATTTATTTCTTTGTGTACGCCTATAGAAAAATGATATCATCAACCAGAATGGTAATACTTCAAATTTTATTTAGGTAACTGTTTGTAAAACTACAAATGTGGTTTTATTAATTTTTATTTAGGTAACTGTTTGTATAACTACAAATGTGGTTTTATTAATGCTATTGGTTTATATTTCATTTTACGTTAGGTGTGTCTGCTTTTGGATCAAGTGTTACTCCCCTTTAACTGCAACGAATCGTTCGGGAATAAAAAGCTTCGGTGACGGTAAAATGGACTTGTATAACAGTTCACAGAGAGACGTGGGCTATTTCTATTTACAAAACTGTGGCGCTATACGCATAAACAACCATTGACTGCATTCCATATAAATGGCCATTGTTTTTTTTTAATGTGCTCATTGCAAAATGCCACTTAAAAAAAAAACAACAAAAGTTTGGACGTCATTATTTTCTGATTGTAAGCTTAGATGACAGTACTGACGACAGTAGTCCCTTGCAACAAGCGGTAGCAAAATAACTACCTAAAACGTAATATATCGATTGCTTCCATTTCACGTCCGAAAATAAACATATATCATTTATCAGTCATATTGATAAAATTTGATTTTAATCGATTTGGCTTTTAATTAAACACAAAATGACTGTGGACTAAATTAGAAAGTTTCTAATGGGTCAGCATTCCATGGAATTAATCTAGCGTGTTATATGGTAATTGATTTTATCATTGAATTAAATACGGATTAAACACGGAACGAATTGTGACAGAGGAAAGCGGTTCGGTGGAGGTAATTATGAAATAAATGGACAATGGTTAACGGAACTTCCCACTTTAGTGAATTAATTCAGCCTGTTGCCGGATATTATGGGTATACAATAGTCGAGTCACGTAGTGCTTGCATTTAAGAGAGATCACTCAAATGTGATCTAAAAAGTCTTTCTTCTGCATTTAATATAATGGTGTATATTTTTGTTTCATTAAAATTCCAAAGCTTCATCCAATCTCCTCACCCAAATTCCAGAGAATAAACTATTGATTATTAAATTTGCTGCAATTGCTTTTAGCGATTGACGAGAAAATTCTTTTATTTTTGTCCTTTAACACTATTATTAAATCTTTTTTTGTAGTATGTAGGGTACCGTATAAATGAAGGCGAATTGTTTTTAGTGATTTCCGTTAAAATGAACGAATTTTCTTGGAAAAGAGGAGCGCTTAGGACAGAGTTTAGCAAATAGAAGATACCCTTTAAATAAAGCAATTCAACATAAAAGTTGTCATACTTACTATCTTAGCTCGCAGTTCTTTGTTGGCCTTGATTTTATTGCCCCTGGAAACTGGCTGTGCATTTCCTCGTTTAGGAGACGATGTTAGTTGAGCTGCAGATAAACTGCTGGTGGTGGGACCCGGAAGACTATCCCGTGGCCGCAAAGCCATGGAAGATGGACAATCTGTTGCCGGTTCGGTAGATGGAGAAGGAACTGGTTTTAGATCGGGGGAAA